TTCTCCCCCCCCCCCCGCGGCCGCCCACCGACTCCGTATCGCCGCCCGCGCGCTCTCTCTTTCTCTCCCTTCTCCCCCAGCGGGAAGCGTTCACTTTCGCTTTTCTTCCCATCCCTCGAGACTCTTGGTGTCCCCCCACCAAATCCCTACAGGCCCCAGCCCGGCTTCGCCTCACCCGTCGACGCCATTTTCTCGCCACCGCCTCCACCTTCTTCTTCCTCCTGCTCTTCAACGTCCTCCCGGTCTTTCTGCCGCCCGGCCCTGCGCATGCGCAAAGCTTTCCAAACTCGGTGCGGACCATTGCCAGAATGGTGGGGGGAGATCGCCACTCCCTCTTGATTCTTATTTTAATTCTCGCCCCCTTCCCCCGCCCCCTGAAAAAAGACTATATTAAAATAAAACAAGGAAGCCAAGATAAGGGGGAAAAAAGAGCGCGAAGCGCCATTGGTTCTTTATAGAATAGGACGAGGCTTCTGTAAACCCCTTCCTGGATGGGAGAATGGCTCTGTCCGACACACTTAGGGGTCCTCTTACAAGAGAGCGGTCGTTTGAGAAATGTGGAATGTGTGTTTCTAAGGAACGGAAGATGGTTGTGGGTTACGCGGAGGGCTGCTAGGAAAGTTAACTGGAAGTCACAACGGTTGAATTAGGTGGAACGGACTCCTGAGTCTCAGAATTCCCACTGCACATCTAAACGAGCTTCCCTCATTATCTCAAAAATGGACACAAATCTGACATAAAAAATGGCAATATCCAGAAACCAATAGGACAACACTTCAGTCTACCAGGACATTCCATCAAGGACTTAAAGGTCACCGTAGTTCAGCAGAAATATTTCAAAACCAAAATCCAACGGGAAGCTGCTGAATTGGAATTCATATGTAAACCTGACTCAGTCAGACTTGGATTGAATGGAGACTTTGGATGGTCATCTCATTACCAGAAGTAACTAAACTTTCAGGTATTCCATTCAGATTCATTGATAGAAGGAAGGGGTCACACCTAGCCTGGATTGCGCATTCAACCTTTTTCATGACTTTTGCAACTGCTTTGTATTTACATGGCACTTTCTGCATCCTCTCCCCCTCTCCCCTTACCACCTATATCCTTCTGGCCAGTTTCTTCAAACCCTCCATCCATCTCAAAAGCTTACGTTACAATAAAGTTTGTTGGTCTTAAAGGTGCTACTGGGCTTTTCACTATTTTATTTCAAAAAGGCTTCTTATGTTGAAGACTTGGATAATATGCAACAAGTATTTAAATGTAATTAACGGCTAGATTTAATGCTTAATTGGTTAAAAGTTCTTTAATCAGTCAGCGATTCTGAGAAGGAGAAAAAGGCATGCATGTAGGCCTGAACACACCTTTCTAAAACCATTGATTTTAATGGATCAGAAGGGATCACTGTTCAGTGAATAACTGTTTAGAGTAACACTAATCTACGGCCACTAACCGAGCAGAAAAAACCCAAAACAGACCAGCCTTTTAAAAAAGAAAAGAAAACCCATCTAGGCTAGTTCATGGGAATATAATCTGGGTCTCAAGGGATGCTTCCAGGCTTTAGTGACTCTTGATTTAAAAAGTATGCAGAGTGCTCTCCTAGTCCCCTTTCTCTTCTAAAACTGAAGAAAGAAGCCTTGAAAATTTATAAACTGCTTTTGCTAACCCAAAATAGTCCCTGCTGGGGTGCGATTGAGGAAGATATTTATTGTTAGCATATTTATGAAATATACACCCCTGTATAATGGCTCAGTAAATGAGCTCCTGAGTAGCATTCAGATGCTCCCCCAGTTTAATCTTGGAATTCCAAATTCAAAGTAGCAGATGTTGGAAAAGACCATCCTTGGCCTGAAGCCCCGGGGACAGGGTGGCATGCTGCTGCCAGTCAGTTTTTTAAAAATATATTTTATTATATGAATTAAAGGGTACAGAAATGAAAATGGGGGATATTGAAAAAATTAAAAAGTAATTATTCATTAGCAATTATTAAATTTTATCTTTGTTGAGGACACAACTCCAATATTTGATACATAAAACAAGAGTAGGATATCTCCTCAACTTAATTCATTTATTTACTCATTATATCAGTATACTCTTTTTCTAAATAAAAAGCATACCCAAGCATACTGTTTTGTATACAATGTAAAATATTGATTTTAAAGTAACAACTCTTTTCCTTTAAAAAGATTCTACAAATTGCAAGGAATAGTATACATGTACAGTGACTATAATTTCTCTCTGTTTCTGTGATTATTTCAGGTAGTGCCAACTTTTTGTATCTGATAATGCAGACTAGTCATCAATTATTAACCTTGACCAAGATCTGTATAGTATGCTTCCCATTTCTGTTGAAATTCTTCAATTGGTCGTTTATTTACTAGATTCAATAACTGCCAGTCAGCTTGATGGACCTCTGGCCTGTTAAAACAGGTTATATCCCTGATGCTAATTGCGGACAGGAGCTCACAGGCCTAAGAGGGGAGGAAGGTGGTAAGGCTCGCAGCAATAGACCAATCTTGACCACTGACATTGTTGACCATGTATACATTGCTGGGAAGGGGCTTAAAATTTTACACAGACTGACAGACACATTTAAAAGACAGGACCTAGCCATGAACTAACAATCAAAATGTTGCTTCAGTTTGGGGGAATGACAGCTCCATCCACTTCCCTCCCTCAGAGGCAAAATTTTCCCTCTGTTTTCCTATCCCTTTAACTGACTGAGCTGCCCTACTAATATGTTTTCTTCTTTGCTGAACTCTAGCTGTCCCACCCTGTCACAGTACAATGTTTTGGCTGTTGGCTCAGCCCAGGAACCTGAGAGAAACACTTTAACTTAAACAACTTAAAATGGCACTTGAGGCATCTTGAAATTCAAAAATAACAAAATATTTGATTTAACACAGAAGGGAAAGGTCAGGTAAAATCAGGGGTTGAAAATTTCAGAGGTAAAACCAGTACATGCACAGACTTCAGTTCTTATGTTTCAGGCTAATTAGAGTTTCTTAAGCTTTTCACAGTGTTGAGAGGCTTTTGTTTATGAGGTTTCTGTTGAGAGGCTTTTGTTCCAGTGTTTCCCCCAAACACTCTACTACACTTTCTTTGAGTAGTCTCTCTTTTGGTTTCCAGAAGGCTGGTAGATTCTTTCCAGTACCGAAACCCCTTCTCTTGAAACACCAGTACCCGTCTTAAATTTTTAACTGGCTCTTAACGTCTCTAAAAGTGGTTTCCAACCACACTAGACAAGGGATCTCTTCACTCTTCAGAGCTAACTCCCTGTTTGACTGGGTAGTAGAAGAAGAAGAGGAGATTGGATTTATTGCCCTTCACTACCCAAAGGTGTCTCAGAGCGGCTTACAAACTCCTTTCCCTTCCCCTCCCCACCACAGACACCCTGTGAGGTAGGTGGGGCTGAGAGAGCTCTGACAGAAACTGCTCTTTTTTCAAGAACAGCTCTTATCAGAACTACGGCTTGCCCAAGGTCATCCAGCCAAGTGCAAGTGGAGAAGTGGGGAATCAAACCTGGTTCTCCCAGATTAGAGTCCATGCACTTAACCACTACACCAAACTGGCTCTACACCAAACTAGGGAATTTTCTTCTCTCTCTAGAAGATCTATCACCTTTCCTTGGCCCGAATGGGAGTCTCCATCTAACTACCTCCTTGTCCTTGCCAAATTTCCCCAGATCTCCTGTTTGTGTTAAACTGCTTACAGTCAAGACTGAATTCAGAATGAAAGTTTCCTCAACGTTTTGCTCTCAAGTCTCTCTCTGCTCAGCTGATGCTAACCAATCAGATCTCTTGGAGCAGCCTGTCACTTAAAGCTCTCTGGCTCTGTGACGAAATAACCCTCCACAGCTCTTTGCCTGTTTGTACAGCACTCCTAAGCTTTTTAAAAGTGCAGTCCATCACTGGAGGTATGAAAGGCAAAACCTTGGCCTGGTTGCTGGCCTTTTTGGGGGGGTGTAAGAAAAGTCAGCAGAATCATTTTCACTTTGGAAGCAGGCTAAAATGTGTAACTCCTCCAAGTGCAGGGCAGCAGTTCAGACCCAGCGCACCATTTTAGAGGCCACTGTGGGTGAGGCAGCCAGTGGGTCACCACCAGGTCTCAAGCAAAATTAAACAGGAGTCCAGCAACACTGACTAAAATGTGCCTCAGCATCCCCTTCTTGTGAAAGAGCTCACTTCATCAGATGCCTCAAGGGGTAGGACTTGTTTTCAAGGGTTTCACTTTTTTCTCGGGGTTTCCAAAAGTCAATGTGAAGGGCTAAAATGGAGGGGGGTTGTTGTTTGCAAATGGCTTCTGCTATTCACTCTGCTCCCCTCCCCCCATGGTCTTCAGACCATACGCCCAAGGACAGCAGGCACCACCCCTTCCGTACCCGAACCCAGCCCCTGATCTGGCTTCCAAATTTCACCCTGTTTCTCGTGTTCTGGGCCTCATGAGGTCTAGCGACCTGGTCCCTGGACATGGCTGTCCTGTATTTTTCTGTTTCATACAGGTTGGCTTGTGGTCAAGGAAAAAAAGAGGGCAGAGCAACGTGGCAACAGCACTGGCCGGGGCGGGGGGGGGATAGCTGACCAGCTCGCTGGGAACCAAATGTTAGGAACTCCATAACGAGGGGTCTGCAAAGGTTTGGCATCCGAAGCAACGAGCAGTTAGAAAGGTCGAACCGTTTGCAAGCCCAACGAGACTAATCAATGCAATACTGTATATTATTGAGAATATGTTACATGAATTGGGGGACAACATTGTATTTTTCCAGATATGGAGGGGAGCAAGCCTTCCCGAGCTCCATAAAAAACGGAAGAGAATTTGCAGCAACAAAATAGGATCAGAGTTCGAGTCCTCTGGCGGATTTATTCCCCCCCCCCCCTTTGGTCTCTTTGCTCTAGTTACACTTTAGCGACGCTCCCTCGCTCGTTGCAAGCATGTGCAGGCTAGACTTGCAAACGGCCTTCCAGGGAAAGCCAGCATGCTCAAAATGGCTGAACTGCGCACCGGTTCCTGCTGTGCGATGAGTCGCCGCCACCAGCCGGACTGGGGTAACGGCGGCCGCTCTTGAGCCCGGTAAAAGGAAGTGGTCTGTTCGCAGACTGCAGTCTGATCTTGCAGAATCGAGAGGCGGCGGAAGAGGGCGGAGGGAGCGCCCGTTTGGAATTAGTCATAGGAAGATACTCGGCTTGAAACTCCTCAACATTTCTACACGGAGAGGGGCTGGGGTTCGAACATGGCCTTGCGATTCTCTTGAAAATATAAGAACTGGGTCAGAGCGAGGTGTGGTACCCTGGGAGAAACTCCCAAGCTGGGCATGAAGGCAACAGCTCTCCTCCTCTTTGCCCCGGCATGTGTTAGAAATACACTGCCCCCGAATGTGGATGCTCCCAAGCTGTCTTGCCTTTGACAGACCTGTTTTCCTGCATGAGTTTATGTAATCCCTTTATAATATCCAGATGAACCATGGCCACATTCAGTTAGTTTCAGCAGTTGAAGCACTGTGTTATGAAGTTTTTTGTGTGTGTCTCGCAAACTGCCAGCCGACTTCCGTGGGCGAACCTGAGATGCAGGAGAGGAGAATCTCTTTCTATTTATCTCACAACAGTCTTAAGGAGAGTTAGAGGCAACTGAACCCTGAAATTAATACAAGACTAAGATCAGACTGAAACTGACTTAATATGTTCTAGTTATCCCATAGTAGCCACCTTTAAACAGCAGCATTAAATGTACTTTCAGGGTAATTGTTGTGGTGGTGATAGGGGACAGTTCGGTCATAGTATCCATGGTTCAAGTCTCCCCTTAGCCATGGATTTAAGGGGTGACCTTAAGTCTCAACTAAGCATAGATTTACATTTGTAATATTAGAAATAAACAATCTAATACAGGTAGCCATAATTTTGGATCACTTTACAGAGTTGCTGTTAGAATTACTGAGGCTCAAAAAGGCAAGCAATCTGCTAGATGTCAATAGAAGCTGGAAAGAAAACCCATCGTAATCCCACCCAGTAGAGGTCATTTCGGGGCGGGGGATCGCAGTTCCCCCGGGTGAGGTACGGGGGGCGGGGCACATGATGAAGCCCCGCCCCCCGCTTCCGGCCGCAGGGAGGGCCTTCGTGGGGCTTCCTTGCACTCCCGCCGGCCTTGCAGGTCCACCGCCGGGCCCCTCATGGGGCTCGGCAGTGGAGCTGCAAGGCCGGCGGTGGCGGCCGGGACCGTTGGGGGCGGGGTGTGTGGCCTTATGACACACGTCCGGTGATGTCAGGGGGTGTGGCCTTATGACACACTTCTGGTGATGTCAGGGGGTGTGGCATGTGCTAATGAGTTATGCTAATGAGTCCCCCTAGCTCTTTTTCTACGAAACGACCCCTGCCACCCAGCCTTAACTTTAGCTCACTGTGGATAGAACACCTGCTTGGGAGGGGATCTTTCTGAATCCTCTGAGTCCCTGAGAATCTTTGCTAGTTAGTTATTTATTATTTATGAGCTCCATGCGTTAAAATGTATCTCTGCTTAATCTGCAATTAAAGCAGCCACCAATAAATATGAACCTCTGATCCAAATTGTAATGTTCTCTCATCTCGTAGGGGGATGCGGCTCAGAAGGCTTCTGATCAGGCTGCGGGGGTTGCGGCATCCCCCAGTTGCTTCCTCCACCCTCATGCTACTTCTCTGCCTCTTCTGGCTGATGGGCATTGGGGAAAGCTGGGCCTTAGCGCCTGGCCTGCTACTCAAGCCTCTCCATGGTAGGTGTTTGGCTCCTCTGTGATGCTCTTTCTTTTCATTGATGGCTCTGGAGGTCTTGGGTACAGGCACTTAACAAGTGGTGTGTTAAGGGCAAGGTGGTAGTTGCGATATGTACAGGTGGAGTGGTAATTACAAGGGCACAGGTGCAGGCACACAGGCAGACACACAAAGCAACATTAGCACTGTGAAATCCAAAACTCTTTCTCCCCCCCCCAATCTGTTTCAGTCCCAAATCTTGTGGTCAGATGTTGGCTGGGATTCAGAGAGACCCAGGAGTGACCACAAAGCATCTCTGCATGTAAACGGGTTGCGTGTGCGCGCGCACACACAGATTAGAGATGTAAACATTCGTGAAGTGGAAGCCAAGAGGGGAAAACCAATTTTTCCCTTTTTTTTGAGGAAGGGGACAGATAACTTGAAAAAAAGTTGAAATACTTTCATTCTTATTTAACTTTTTTAACAGCATAAAATGGTTAATTTATTGTATGGGTAGCATAAAAGGGAACTAGTTTGCACATTTAGAGAATTTAGAAATGTAAATGCCTTAGCTTTCTATAAGCATCATTGTGAATATATCTATTACGAGAGAGAGAGAGAGAGAGAGAGAGAGAGAGAGAGAGAGAGAGAGAGAGAGAGATGCAAACAGCTGTATTCTACACTGCCTTAGTTTTGTATTCTGAGAAATGAGTCTCCCTAACTGCCGAGGTGTTGTGGAATATGCACATTCCAAATGCACAAAAGTTTTTAACGTACGGAAGACTTAGGTATAGGTTGTGGAGTTTACTGTTAGTGGGAAAGGGGGTTGAGAAACAAGGAGGCAGCACTCAAGGGTCAGTTGTTAGACTTCATGTGTCTGCCCATGTGTTTGTGTGTGTGTGTGAATGAAGGCAGGTGTGAGAAACTGAAGAGGATATGGACACCAAGAAAATGTTTCATAGAAACGGATGCCTATGTAAATTTGCTGTTGCTGCTGCTGTTGGAAACACAGACATGAATACATGAAGCTGCTTTATACTGAACCAGACCATTGGTCTAACAGGGTCAATATTGTTTAGTCCGACTGGTGGTGGCTGTCCAGTCTCAGGCTGAGGTCTTCCACATCACTTGATCCTTTTGGTGCTGCTGAGGATTGAACCTGGGATTTTCTGTGTGCAAAGCAGATACCCTACCACGGAGCCATGGCCCCTCTTCAAATAAAGGTGATCTTGTACTAACCACCTTCTCCAACTTCTCTTTGCAGCCTACCGCCTGGTGACCTACTGCCTGTGCCACACAGATGCCACCCACCTTCTCTTCAATGTGATCCTCTTCCCACTGCTGGGATGGCATCAGGAGCTGCGTCTGGGCACACTTCGCTACCTCCATGCCTCACTCCTTGGAGCCACTGTCTCAGCCCTACTGTACTTCCTGCTAGCTGGTCTGTGGGGTGCCCAGCCTGCCGCTGCTGTTGGTGGCTACACACCTGTGCACCTGGCCATGCTGGGGCACCACCAAAGGCAATGGAAGCGGAGGGGGATCTCGGGAGTGATTCCAACTGCTCTTGCGGCTGGGGTGCTGCTTGGGCTTAGCCAACTTCTGTTGCCCAGCTCTCCTTTCCTCCTGCATGCCAGTGGGCTGCTGACGTGCCTGGCTTGTATCCTTTTGCTACCCTTTGAATCTGCCCTTTAACTGACACCTGGTCAGCATCCATAGTACTGGCCATCACCACTTCCCCTGGCAGTGAACGGCACAGTTTACAGTGCAATCTTCTGCAGAGTTGCTCCAGTTGAAGCCTGTTGATTGCTCTTTTGTCTACACACATCTGCTTTAGCCAGGAGACGTTACTTGCCCTAAATGCCAGTGGGGACTTGGCCATAGCCTTTTCCTAATAATGAGGACCCATCCACAAAACATACTCAGAAACATACTTAACATACTTAAGGAAGACTGGCATTACTTTGTCAAAGACCCTAACTTCCACCAGGAAGGCAACTTTGCTCCTGGCCAATAGGACAGACCTCTTCATAGTAACCAGATACTAGTGAGAATAAGCCTCTAAAGAGGGACAGTGACTTTCTCAGGTGATTTAGCCACTCCTAGGTTTTGTTGTGACCACTTCCGCAGATCCTGATTTTCAAATGAATTCCAGTTCGGCAGCTTTGCGGTGGATTCTCCCTTGGAAGTCTTTCTTTGTGGAAGAATGGCAACTGTAAGGTCTGACACAGAATGTGGGGATAATAAAGACTATTGTGGCCTAAGATATTTGCAGGCCAAGGACTTGCTTGGCCAAATGCAGTGTACGTTGGCAATGGATTTCTTCCATATTGCCAAACCTGGTACACCTTTCAGAGGGGCTGCTCCATATTGGAGCAGGGTTAAGAAGCTTATATAAGTTTCCCCCAGTTGGGCTTCACTGCAGTCCTCACATAGCCAAGTCAACTTTCTGGACATTGCAGTTACACTGTGATTCAGCTCTTGGCTGGCCATGTTGCCAGGTTGATGAGCAGACCAAGAAGCCCTTCTCTCGGATGTGCTATTTCTTCCATGAGTATACAGGTATTTTTCTATGCAGAACATTGTAAATGTAACTCGTAACTCTCCCTCCTCCAGTCTGACATAGCACATTCCAAGAAGGACTTGATCACTGGATCAGCTCCCAGTTTCCATAATTGGATCAAACATTTTTCCCCCTGTGTGTTTTCTAGTGGGAAAGAAGGGTGTGTGGTCCTGCTCTTAATTATCACAGGCCTAGAGGGCCCTGGCTTTCCTGAGTAGGAGGGATTTTCCTTGACAGGTCGGGGGAACCCCTCAGACTGTGCCGGGATTTTCTCCCCGCTGGAACTGTCAGAGAGAAGCCTGGAAAGGTGGCACAATGGGTTCATCTGCAGGACTCTGGCTGGGGTCTCTTTCCTCCCTTTGGTCACACCCCCGGCAACTGCTGGACTCCTTCCAACCGCTGACCCAGCAGCCAGAAATGAAAGGTAGATGTAAGACCCGTATATGAGAGGTATTTTGGATGTTTTGCCTCTCCAGCATGCGGTTGGATCCTCTCCCCACACTGGATGGGCCTTTGATCAGCATCTTGGTTTGAATATCCAAGGATATCACACCAAGCCAAAGTTTTCCTAGGGTTGGGAAGTGGCGTGGACAGCAGCGAGGCCACCTTGCAGGTACATCCGTGGCCTTTTGTGAACTTTGTACTTTAGTTCCGTTTTTATTTACTTGAACGTATCAAAAATACCAAGCCAATCGATCAACAATATTTACCATAGAATTGGAGTTCAAACCTGACTCTAGAACCTACTCCAGCTCTAATTAACAATGCTTAGGAGAACTCTGACTGACAGTTCTTGAGTCAAGAATAAGCTTATCTCTTAAAACTAACTTTTAAATAGATCGTACACGCTAAATATAACACAATACCACAACTTTGACTTTTTCCACTGGCTTGACCACATTCCAGTAGTTTATAAACTGCCTTCATCTTTGCAAAAGTAAGTCCTGAGAGTATTCTGTTTTGTTTTGTTTTAAATTATGGACAGAATCATTGCATGCTTTCCCTGAAGTGCAGCCTCTGTGCAAAAGAACTCATCTAGGCTGCAGAGATTGTTTAAAGAGGTAAACAACAGCAAGACTCTTCCCCTACCCTTCCCTTGCATCTGGACAATATCTGAAAGTCCAAGAGGTGGCTTCCCCCTAGGTCTTGTGGATAAGAAAGGGGAGAACAGAGGAAGATTGGGTCAGGTGTTCAAAACTTCTTTGCATTCATATCAGTTTCCTGAAGTTTAAAAAAAAATTTTTTAAGATACCTCATATTTGAAGGATGGATTTGATGGGTTGAAAGGGTTTTTTGTCCTGCTGTGTTCATAAACCCTGATAAGTTTGCAAAAATTATATTGCTAATGTTAATTAACCTACGGCAATCAATTAACAAAGTATAGTTAGTTAACCTGCAGAGGTAAAAGAGTTCTGCTGATGTTGTGAAGCAACATTGTTAAGGCAGGGCCTGCAAGATGGAGCTCTTCTGCCAGGCTTTTACGTAGGAACCCCCACTACCACCATCACCAATGGCGTGGGTAACAACTGGGTAAGAGGATGGCCCTTGAAGATCTGCCATGATACCGTGCTGGGTGGGTACCACTGGACTGGCCGCGTACCAGCTACAGGACACTATCTACCTCCAATGAAAGATCCGGCATTTACTGTTGGAAAACCATCTTGTTCTTTTTTGAGCACCTTATTTTTGTGATTCAATTATTTGATTCTGTTTTAATCTGTTTTAGTCTTGTTTTATATGTGGGCATTGTTGCCCCCTTGTAAGCCGCCCTGAGCCCACTCACGGGGAGGGCGGGGTAAAAATACTAATAAATCAATAAAATAAGCTGGTGGGAGACAAGATACCAGGTGCCACCACAAAATGGCTGCTACAGAGGCAGGGCCTATTACAAAATGGCTGCCATTTGGGATCAGGTCCTTGTTTTGGTGAACAAGAGGCACATTTGGTTTTAGTTTCAGAAGAACAGAGAAGGCTTGCTTTCTGCATAGCTCTAGGGGGAAAGGTTGCTTAGTTAGAGACATTAGAAAGTCTGTCTGTGGCTGTGATGAGGGTATGTGACACATCTGCCTGGGATGAGCGCCGTACTTTGTTGGTGTGTGTGGTGGTAAGAAGCAACCTGAAGCCCCCTGTTGTTTGTTGTTCCACTCAAGACCCTTTGGATTTCATTCCCAAGACTCAAACAGTAAATGGGTGCCAGGATTCTCACAGGTGCCATGTTGCAGATCACTGGTTTACATGTGAGAAATACACAGTAGGTCGGACCGACTGCCTGGCAAACTCCCTTATTAGAGCCCATTTAGCTTAGACAGTAAGCCTATGGGGAACAGTGACAAATTCTCTGAAGAGTAAACCTAGACGATATTCTTTTTTTAAAAAGCACATGTTTATCCCATTCACACATTACCTTTTTACATGCACATTTGGGGGTTTTTTGGTGGGTTTTGTGTGTGCGTGCTTGCATGCCTGGAAGTCATGGTGACTTCTGGCAACCCCTACTGGGGTTTGGACGTTTCAGAGAACTGGCTTGATTGCCTGCCTCTGCATCCCAAGCCCTGGTTGGAGGCCTCCCTTCCAAATACTTGCCAGGGTCGGCCCTGCTTAGCTTCTGAAATCTGACAAGATCAGGCTTGCCTGAGCTATCCAGGTCAGGGCTACACATGCATTTTTAGGGATAGACCCAAGTTTTTAATTTGTGGAGTAGCTCGATTTGACTTAATTCAAAGCCTTTTTTTTGTCTCCCCCCCCCCCCCAATTCTCAGACTCACTTCTGCTCCGGAACATCAAGCCCAACCAGTCTTCCCGAGAGTTTTTTCCACCTGGACACAACCTCCAACTTCACCATCTGTCCCTTACCGGGGAGGAGAAAACATAGGGCTGGAGCAGGAATCTGGACTGCCATACGTGTCTGTTTTTCCACCTCCCTTCTCGTGCCCCTCTGGGGCTTCAAACATTCCTTTTTCAGTCCTCCATGAATCCCTGGTTGATGAGGAGATGCTGCAGGCTGGAATCCAGGCCTCTTTGCAGGATGTGACCGGTGGAGAAGTAAAGCTATCCAAATCATCTGTCTCTTCTCTCCGGTAAGGGGAATTCTAAGTGTCTCATGGGGGAGGGAAAGTGTCATGCGGTCCCCACTTCTCTGGGGTAGCAATTCCTTGGTTTGTGTGATATGGCGATCACTGGGGATTTATGGTGTTTTTAGATTATGTGGTTTATTTATGAATTAGCAAGCAAGAGCTCATGCAGAGGCAAAGGAGCACTCTACAGGTCTGCAGATCCACTGGTTCCCATCAGACCCCCAGAGAAACACAGAGACCTTGTAGCATAAGGGAAGCTTCCTCAAGAATTGTTCACTGTGCCACCATTGCAGGGTTTTTCAGAGCATCTATAGAAAGTCATAGTCCTCCTTTTGGGTCCGTCACAGTTCTCTCAGAGCTCTCTCAGCCCCACCTACCTCACAGGGTGTCTGTTGTGGGGAAAGGAAGGGAAGGCAATTTGTAAGCCGCTCAGAGACTTCTTCGGGTAGTGAAGACTGGGGTATAAAACCAGCTCCTCTTCTTTATCTTCCACGGTTTCCCCTCCTTTGCACCAACATTTCTGGAAACATCTGAATGAAAGTAGGTCAGTCCCCATGTGGGTGAGAAGGTGTGGATTTCCTAACTCCCCATTCCCTCATGCCCACCCTTCTATCCACGCCAATAGGCTTTGTGCCGGCTTAAAAAAAATATATTGGTAGTAGGTTTATTGCTGTAATACTATACCAGTATAGCAATTATCGTTTTTTTAAAGGATGGCAGAAAAGCCCTCCAGCTGGGAAGGAAAGGGAGAAACGGTAGGCACAACGGGAAGGGGAGAGAAAACCTGAGAATCGCCCAGGTTGGACAGTCTGTTGCTAGTGCCGATGCCTCGGTATTTGTGATAGCATTGAGTCCACAGTGGAGAATCATCCCCATGTGGAAGCAGCCAAAGTTTTTCAGTCGACTCCCAGCTGTCTCTGTCAGCCTCTGACAAACTCTTCATACATACACTTGCACCCTCCTTTCAGCTTGAAGGGGACACCTTCCAAACAGAGATATTTACTAACAGTTGTTACCCAGGGAGGAAATGCCCACAGTTTTCTTTGGAGACTGAGCTGGGTCTTTTGGCAGGAAATCAAAGCAGTTTAAATTGGGTCAGTCTGAACAAAGAACTTTAGAGAAGAGGAAGAAGAGACTGGATTTAAACGCCGCCCTTCACTCAGAGTCTCAGAGCGGCTTACAGTCTCCTTTCTCTTCCCCTCCCCACAACAGACACCCTGTGAGGTGGGTGGGGCCTGAGAGAGCTCTTTCGAGGACTGCTCTTGAGAGAACAGCTCTGAGGGAACTTGTGACTGACCCATGGTCACACCAGCAGCTGCATATAGAGGAGTGGGGAATCAAACCCGGTTCTCCCAGTTTAGAATCCATCCTCTTAACCACTACACCAAACTGGGAAATGGTAGTGTGAGCACAGTTCTTTGCCAGTAGCAACAGTAACACAGCAGGATCCTTGATGTCCAAGCGTATCTTAATAGCTTGAGAAGTCCTGGTTAATAGTCTGATTGCCTAATGTGGGGAAGGCTTTTTTTCTCTTTGGAACTATGCTTTCCCAATACATATGATTCTTTTTTTTTTTGGTTAAATTTTTTTTTAATTTTTTTGAATATAGTCAAACATTCCAAAATAGTTTCAACCAGTTAATTATCCCAATACATATGATTCTGTTAAGTGGGGATCTACTCCTGGTAGCCCTCAGTCCTTGGAGAGGCTCTTGGCCAGAAACGCCACTTCTTGGCTGGATGTGATCACAACACGGATCCCCATTTCCTCATATGGGTCTCTGGGACTAACCAGGAGGAAAACCTGGAGGATGGCTAGGCCAGGAGGGGGAGACAGGTCAGGCCCCTTTCCTGAGGTTTTCACAAAGCAGAGCAAAAACCTGAGATCCCCCCCCCCCCCCCCCTCCCTGCACCTTTAGATTCTTTCACAAAAAACAAGACACCAATGTTGGATCAGGCCAAAGGCCTATCCAGTCCAACACTCTGTCACACAGTGGCCAAAAATACCAGGTGCCATCAGGAGGTCCACCAGTGGGGCCAGGACATTAGAAGCCCTCCCACTGTTGACCCCCCCCCCAAGCACCAAGAAGACAGAGCATCACTTGCCCCAAAGCCCTTATCTATACCTTGTGCTTAATAGCCACTGATGGACCTCTGCTCCATATGCCTATCTAATTCCCTTTTGAAGCCGTCCATGCTTGTAGCTGCCACCACTTCCTGTGGCAGTGAATTCCATGTGTTATTCTTACCTGAAAAGCAAGTTTGGTAATTGTCTGCCCAAGCTTCTGACCCTTAACCCATCTCCTTCATGCCCCCTCCCTCCCTGGCAGGCTGCAGCAGCTCCAGAAGATGGGCTTCCCAACGGAGCAGGCAGTGGTGGCTCTGGCAGCCACAGGCCACGTAGAGGGTGCCGTCTCCTTGCTGACCGGAGGCCATGTTGGAGATGCAGCCGTGGTGACTTCAGAGAGCCAGTCAGCTCACCGCACACGGATGGATCCCAGGCAGTGAGTAAACAGAGGAAGGAAGTCTCTGCTTCTGGCATTGCTAAGTACTGGGGAGGAAACAAACCATACCTGGGATGGATATAGGTTCTTCATGGAATCTGCCAAGGAAGAATGAAACAGGAAGAACAGGGAACAAAGCTGAGATGAAACTTCGATTGCTCGGAAGCGTTACAGTTTACAGTCAAGCAGACCCTACCGAAGGGGCAAAACAAGCTGTTGGCTGGGTGGCAGAATTCCAGGTGCTCCAAGCTAACTAGGAAATCTTCCTAGGGGAAATACAGCTCATTCCTTCTACCACCCTAGACTCCTGAAACTACAGGATGTGAGATATAGATACTCACTGCCCACTGGTTTTTTCTGATTGCAGCATTCCCCCCCTCCTTCCAAGAGCAAATCTATCCGTTGCTTCTTATGTAACAGGGGAAAGAAGCTGCAATCAGGAAGACCCTTGAAGGAAGAAAATACAATTACCCCACCCCTCTCATTCAAGAAGAATGGGGCGGCACAGAATGCATGTCCACCTGGGTAGTTTAATTCAGCTTTGATTTCAGCTGCCTTTGTGTGTGCTGTGTAGCACTCCCACCACCATCTGCTGCTACTTGAGTTGCCTGCAGGATCAAGTACCTGTTCTCTCAGATGAGTAAGTCCACCTGTAAATGTCCCATGATCACCTGGCGCTCAGAGAGGCTGATAATTAGTGATCCTGGAATGGATTACCTGGGGGAATCCAGGGGATTTAATAGTGTTTAGAATCCGGCTGTCTTGAATTAAAGGACTTGGAAACATAAACTATTTCCATGTAAAGCCACTGGTAGGACAGTAAGAAAAACCCCAGATGGGCTGTGACTCCTGGGAGTACCGTTTGCCAGGGAATGGATTGGTACTGTGTTCTTCATGAACCAAAATCTCCCCTGCCCCCTGCCGAGACTGGTATCTTCTTGTACGGCAGAATTTTTTCATGGGGGAGGGAAAATCAGGCCCATTATTTTCCTATTGTTTCAACTTAGTAAATTACCAGCATGTATGTGAGCATGCCCCAAACCATCTGTTGCGCATGGAGTTGTGCGTGACCACCGCGACAGCGTCTCGGGGTCCTAGAAAAAGCAGGCTAGTGTGCTTCTTGTCCCAAGTTCTCCCCGTCCATCTCAGTCTCCTTCTGCACCACCCCGACACTGTTCCCTGCCACTGATGTGATGATTCACCAAGGCATCTGAGATACGCCAGGAGACATTCTTTCTGCCCTGGGCTTAGTTGCTGTGACATCATCACAAAAGGACCTGGGGCGCTCAAGGCTGGATTTGAGGGAGGGCTAGGGAAGCTCTAAAACCAAAATTCAAAAGGTCGAGTTTCCTTGAATTTGCATTGTAAGCTTTCAAGTATCTCAGTGGCAACAGACATACATTTGCCTGCCAGCTGCTACCCTGGTAACCTTACCTTTCGTTATTACATACTTCTCAGGGCCAAACGAGATGAAACACTGGGCATTCCAGGTGCATGGGGGGGGAGGGCATCCTGATTGGGGTTGCAGGGTGCTGGTCGCCTTCTCTCCCCCATCATTATCCTGAACTGAAAGAGCCCCCAAAGGGTGCAGAAAATGGTACTTTTAAAAAGCTGGGAGCTCTAGGCTCAGAACCCTCCGCATCTTTTCTGATTTGGCCCTCAGCAGGACAGGGTGCGAGGTCTGTGTGTGGAGGAATATCCCTCTGTGGATGGGAGATGCCATAGCTCAGTAGCAGAGTACATGCCTTGCGTGCATTCGAACCCAGCTTCAGACTCTGGCAATCTCCCATTAAAAGGATTTCAGATGAGCATATCTGGTGTAAGACCCTTTCCCCTCCGGAGAGTCTGAAGATCTGCTCCCAGGGAATAAAAGCTATGCCATTAAAATCCTTTGAACCAAACCTGGAACCTCTTGCCAATTAAGAGTACAGGATACTGAGCTAGAGGGCTCAAGGGTACGACTGGGGAGAAGGCAGAACTTCCTATGCCCTATGCTTCCATCATGGGTTCCTGTCCCGTCTTCCATTTATCCCTTCCTTCTGTCCCTCTTTGCTCCAAAAATCCAAAGTGTGCAGAACCACATTAAAGTGTGCCGTGGGAGTACATTTACGCAATAAAACCACAGCAGCCCTTGCACTGGTTTGTCCTGTTAACATATTTCAAGAGCCGATTTCCTCAGTACAGAATGTAGGGTTTTGGTGCAAGGAGCCAATAGCTCTGAATCCAGGTTCTTCCCAGCACTAACTTTGAGAGCAGCTGGCCACACAGACACGGATTTTTAATAAACTGGACTGAAATGCACTCGCAAAGAGTATCATCCTGACTCAGTTTAGAGGAAGGAGTTCTCTTTCATGAAAACACACACGCTTCTCAAGACGAGTGTTCTGAGATGTTTTATTGACCTGGATAGAACTGGTACCCACATCTGCTGAAATCCCAAAGTGTATATGATACAAAAATAGTTCCCTTCCCCCTCCAAACTCCCCAGAGTGCCTGCAGAAGACATTTGCTGTTCAGCAGTGCAAAGGTCTCAGGGCCCCACGGTTAGAGCCAGGGCAGACAGGTAGTCCTCTGCATGGGTGGAACCTCCCTCCCCATCTGACAGCCAGCACAGATGCCTGAAAATCTTCGCTAAAAGCAAGTTTTTAGCCCTCAGTGTTAGGGAAGATATGTAAGGGGGAGCTGCATCTCCAAAGGGTCTCTGTTTGTGTGTCCTCTGATTACTACCCCCTACTTTTCTGGCTTTGGGGGCCCACTCCTTATTCCTCTAGGATAGCCAGGGGACTGTACTTCAGAAACCTCACTGTTCTACGCTGCCTTGGGGATAAGCAGGAGATGAGCATGCCTGCCACATTCCAAACACCAAGGTCAGGGTCTAGAGCCATTCTAGCTACTCCTATCAGCCAGCACCCTGGGTCTCTGCAGCACCAGGTCAAGAGAGACAATTCATGTCATTGGGCATTGCAATGCTTGTAAATGAGGGCGTGTGTCCAGGTGATGGGGAAAGAAATGGGGTTTTCCATTGGTGCTAAAGTTAACACTGAAGCAGTCTTATCCTGTTTCCACACCATGGAAGGATTTTGTGTGTACATGCATGTAAAATCTTGCTACAGGTGGTTGTGGGGATATCACTGGTCTGTCTTTTGGTTTTTCTTTCATCTTGATTTTTGAACAGAGTAGGTGTACACTAGAAGTGCACAGAAACCGTATTTTTTAAAAGGGGAAACAAATTTAAGTTAGTTCACGGTGCCGGGTAGGGGTGAGAGAGACTTGGGAACGGCTGCCGGTTTCATCCTTCCCCCAAATTTAAAAGCACAAGTGTCAGTTTCTGCTGGAATGGTTCAACAGGGAGTACTCAAACTCCTAAACTGAGGAGGGGAAATGAAAAATGGGGTGGTGGTCAAAATAGCATGGGTGTGTGTTGCTGATCATACCACCTATGGCACAGGTACTAACCAATAGGCACTCCAGCTGCATAGAGACACTAGCAAGGGTAAGAAATGGGGTGAGGAATCTTTTTGCCAGTGAGAAAGTACTGTGACTGGAGTAAGGAGACATTAGATGATCTCACTCTGGATTCCCACAAGAACTGAATAACAACTGTGCATCCTTTGTATGCTGAAACAATCTGGAAAGGCCTGGTGGTTCTTTCCCCCATTCCTTTGCCAGCCTGTGGGGGGAAGAGGAGCAATGCGATGATGCAGCATGGATCTGCAGCTCTAGTTCAGTGGACTTGCAGGCCAACGTCCAGTCCCACAGCGGTAGGGAAGTATCAGCAAACTACAGGCCAGTGTATCTAGGGAAGGGGGGAAACACATCCCTGCGAAATAGCACCAAGAGATGGAGAGCTCCCCCTGCAGGACAGTCAGGCAATCACAAAAGGTGCACACAGACTCTGTTCTGGCGACAGTTTAAGCCGGGCGCACAACAAACTGGTTACAGACTCCTTGCACAAAAGGAACAGACCAAATAAATATGAAGCAGGGCTGTTAGCAAGCAAGTATTCTCCCAGGCACAGAGGTGATGCACCCCTTTCTGCTGCTTCTCCTTGCGACGGTCAAAAGCGGGCAGAGGGTTGGACGCCACCCCAAAGGAGACCGCTGGGATGGCAAATGTGCTTTCCTTCTGCACTCACTCAGCAGGCAAGCTGGTCATTTCTTCTCCTTTTTCCTCTGGGCATGCTGGTGTGAGGTCACCCGGTAGGCTGCCATATTCTCATCACGCTTCCCCCGGTAGTAGCTGGGGGTGCTAGTGGAGGCAGGAGCAAGGCCGGATCCCAGTTCTGGTTCTATCAGTGTGCGAGGAGGAGGGAAAAGCAGAGTCAGATCCAAACTTCCTTCCACTTACCATGGAATCTGGCCACCCACGCTTCTCAGCTTTCATTGGTTCTGTGTTTTTAAGAAAGGCAAGGTTCTAGTCCTTAGCGTTTCACAGGTAAGGATGACAATGTACAGGCAATGTCCAGTGAAATTCCAGAAGCTTGAGAGGAATGTGCAGGACTTTCACTGGTCAGCTTAAGGACAGAGAGGAGCCCCTTTGTGCTGGAAGTCACTTTTCTGTAATAACCCCAATCTTTCAAAAGTAGACTATATAGTGGGACATAAGTAACTGTGATTAATTTGGATAGTTTATTTAGACTGCAAAATTTGGATTGCGGGGCGGCAGTGAAGAGACTATGCCAGCCATTGACATGGTCAGGAGAAAGAGAACAATGGAAAAGGAGTGGCCAGGGTTAGGACCAAGATAGACATCCACAAAGGCATCTCCTGTAGTCCCCCCCCCAGGCTTAATAGTAATGGGCAGAGGACAGAGTGCCAAACTGAATTAAGGTCCTGGGGGAGGAGTGTTTATCCCTTCCCCCCCCCCCACCACCACCCATTTTCCTATTCTCAATTATACTCCAGAATTTGCTGTTTGCCAAGCAGGGCGGAGAGTATGTTGCCTTCGGGGGCAAACACCTCAACATGGGAAAGACTTGAGGGAAGGAGAACAGCCCAGAGAAGAGGGTTAGCCCCGCCTCCCGAAAGAAAAGACTCTCTTCCGGTTTGGGCCATCCTACAACGGCCAACAGCAAGTCAGCCGATCATCTATGTCCTGATCTCCTGGCTAGTTTGGCACTCAGAGGATATTTAGCCTCTCTGCTGTTTTATGGCAACTGAATGGAACCTCCATGTACACAGGAAGTAATACTTCTCAATATCAGATGGGGGAGGCGAACAGCAGGGGAAGCCATCGCCTTTGGGTTGGGCTTGTGAGCTTCCTGGAGGTAGGGTTGCCAAGTCTGGGTTGGAAAATACCTGGAGACTTTGGGGGTGGAGCCAGGAGAGGGTGTGATTTGGGGAGGGGAGGGGCCTCGGCACAGTACAGTGCCACAGAGTCCACCCTTCAAAGCAGCCATTTTCTCCAAGGGAGCTGATCTCTGTCGGCTGGGGATCAGTTGTAAAAGCGGGAGATCCCCAGGCCCCACCTGGAGGCTGGCAGCCCTACCTGGAGGCCTCCGGAGTGCTGCTGTTGAAATTGGCATGCTCTGTGAAACGGACCTTCGTCTTATCCGGCGAGGGATTCCCGTTCTTACCTAGAGGTTACCTCAAGTGCAGACAGAAGCCAGGCACCCCCTGCTTCTGCCCCAGTTCCTTGCTAGCGTTGTTCCCTAGAGTGCTTAGTTGTGCATCCCCCTCTACACTCATCCCATAGGGATAGATCATTGTTAACCCACCAGCCCCCTGGTGGACCAAAAGTGCATCCCCCCCATTCAGGCTGGCTTAACAAGTGTGCCATTGAGCATACACAGAGTTGGGCACGTGCACACATGCTTCGGAACAGCAGGCCCCCGCGCTCTTAGGTTAAATCTGCCCCAAATTAAACACCGCCATTCTGCAAAAACACTGATACCCTTCTGCAGAAGTGGAGCATCTTCGATGCTGGCTTCCCTTTGAATTCATGCTGGGGTGACAGAGAAGGGGCTACTGCTTCCCCCTGAGTTTCGTAGCCAGAGGACATGCCCTTCCCCACTTAGCCACCCCATGGGGGGCCATGGAACAAGAGGGGCCAAACAAGCGCTGCCATGCCGGAATTAAGAAACAAAAACTTTGTCTCTATGGGGCTTTGAATACACACAGGGAAAACTGGCCTGGCATGCAAAAGTGGGGGGGGGGGGGGGGAAAGCCCAGGCTGCAGTGGGAATCCTCGGGCCCTGGGCTCTCAGTCCAGCAGCTCACATGGTGAATGCATCATGCCAAAGAAGGGGAGAAGGAGAGGTAGGAGAGGTGAAGCTTCTAGTTTTTTTGTTACCTGGCCAGATGATAGCTTCCAGCAAGGTGACCCTCCTAGCCAGGAGCTCCAGCTGGGCCTGCTGCTCTAGGAAGCTTTGTAAGCTAATGGCCTAGTGAAGATTGAGAAGAGCAGAGTGCGAATTCATTCACCCTCGATATGGGGAAAGAAGGATGGGGGGGGGGAGAAGGGGGGAGTCTGTTGCTGAGAGCCAAATCAGAACACCAGGGGTCTTGAGAGGGGATGGGCAGGGGGAGAGATGCTGCTGCGTTTGCAGGGAGAAGAAAGGGGAAAGTTGCCCATCTCCAGGCCAGCCCCCTTCTCTGGAGGAGAGCAGCACCTGAGCAGGATCTGGCTTCTCCGTTCCAGACTGCTGTGGAATCCAGGCAGAGAGGAGTTCAAAAGCTCTTACAATTCATGTCCTAGCATCACCTACTTTACCCGGTCGAAAAGCCTTCAGAAATAACAGGCCCAAAGTCATCAGTCCTTCACTGGCTCCCAACCGGCATGAAGGCCCTAACTCATAGTGCTGTTTTTGACCTTTAAAGAGAGATTCCTTTTTAAAGGTGGTGTGAGTGCAACATCTATGCCATAAAAGTAGTCGGCTGGCTCACTGGACTGCATAAGTGAGCCATTTTGGAAGCTGTTGCTACTCCAGGGAACACAGTATGCAAAAGCCCCAGGTACATGCACGGATACTTGTGTGCACACTAGGAAACGCTGAACAGGGGGGTTTTTTGGTCTGTGCAAGACTCTCCACCATCATCTACTTTCACCACAAGTGTTCCTGCCCACCTTCATCTGCTCATCCTTCCTGAACAAGCTTCCTCTGCTGGATTTGCTGCTTGGAGAACAGGCAAGTGGGGGTTACTTACGGCACTTTTGCAAGCATTGGGGATGTCCCCGCCCCCTCCAGAAATGCCCCCCAAAGTACCCCACCAGGGATAGGCCACCCTATCTAAGGCCTCCGCAGACACAGAAGGGGAGCAGGGTTGATATAAGTGCAACCTATATGCCATAGAGGCCAAGGCCCTCGATAGAGAAGAATGAAAACCCTCTCTGATGGGCCTTCTGTTGTCTTCCTTTTGGGCCTTCCCCCAGTATTGGCAGGACTAAACTCTTCTGCTGATGGAACTGTAATTTTATGTGTTCCTGAAATGGCACACCATCTGTAGTTATGATTAGTAATCCAAAGCTGAGCATTTAAAAATTGTTTAAATTATTTTAATTAATTTATGATTGTATTATAATATGTTGTTCCGAGGCCTGCACCGGCAGGGAAGGGTGAGGCAGAAATCAAATAAATAAATAAATGGATGCCCAGGTCCCCACCCAGTCAGCAAAACCTCCTGCCTGCTGCACTTCAGGGTCTAGGCCTGCTCCTTCCCCCTAGTACTTACAGACTCTGGAGGGGTGGTCCTGTTATCTTCCCTTCTGGATCCCCAGTTTCAACACATGCCACTCAAAGCTCCTTGGGAGGATGGGTAGGATAAAGTGAAATAAACGAAGGAATATTCGCACCAGTGGGTTCGGAGTGGCCCCAGTAAAATGATTCTGCAGTTAAAAATATTGGCTAGATGTTCCCCAGTGCTGTTATTGGCATTTAAAGTATGATTTCTCTGTTTAAAAGCGCACAAGTGACTGTTATCTTCTCCTGCCACCAGAGGGTATCCTGTAAACACAGATGTGGCCAGGAACAGGCAAGCAGTGCCTCCCATAATCCTTCCAGAACCAGATCAGTGCCCTTTTCCACTGCTTTTGTTGTGAGTTGGCCACACTGTCTTCGGAACACAGAGCAGGTCCAGGAGACCTTTCCCATCCTCATGGCCTGGCCAAAACCGGAGTCAGCAGTCCTGTGCCCCAGCGCTGCCGCTATCATATCACTGGTGCCCAGCTAAACATTTTGAGAGAAAGTTTGGTTCTGGAAGGGGTCTGCTGTCCGTACACCACGGCAGACAGATCTGATGTTTTCAGGACCTAGACTTATGCAGCTGGACCACATGGCGATGATGTCGTTGCTCACACACTCGTTCTCCATGCACAACCTTTGCAGTAAAACTGCTCACCTTGTGTCCCCCCGATCTGAACACAAGACTGCCTACAACAGAACCTCAACACACATCCTGGTCTTTGCAATCAGCTAAGGACCGCAAAACGCACTGGTCAAGCACATGGCAAGCCAGTATACGTGTCTTGTGGGTCTGTGTTCGGTATGGGTTTTCTGCCACCCACAGGGTGGCCCCCTTTTCCCTAAGCCTCCTGGCCTGGGGATTCTCTCTTTCTGTCTGTCTCTACTCACCATGGAGCCCAATCATTGTTTCCAAGATTAAAACCCTCTCAGCTAAAATCTTCAAAGCCTCTCGGAGCTGGTGTAACCCCTCCCCCTGCGGACGAAAGAGACAGATACAGCCGTGAAGGGAACGCACAAGAGTGTGTGTGCAGGGGTGGGGGAGAAAGGAGGCTGGGGGAATTAACTTGTTTCAGCCATTTAAGCCCTCCCCCAGGGCTGTGTGCAAAGGGGTGCCAATGCAAATATTAAGAGGGGAGAGCAACCCGGTCATTGCAAGGAAGCGCATCAAGGTGCTGGGGTTATTATCATCGACATGCACATACAATCCACTGGGTGGGGGAGCATTCAGCTGGTGCAGTTTGTGGGGAATCCATATCATGGGTGGGGAGGGAACGTCACAGGGAACACTGAAAAAACATGCACGCACGCCCACATTTCCTTCCCTGCTGCACTTGCTGTTCTGCCTAATGGAATCTTTCCCACAGAAGACAGCCTGTCCCTTAGGAAGTTGGGGGAGCTTCCTGTGCCACACCGTATGATGCCTGACCTGTCCTACCCCAGATGCAGTCGTATTCCACCACCTAGGAATGCAACCCGGAGAGAACTGACTGGACTTCTACCCACAACCCAATCTTATGCATGTTCCCGTGCAAGTCGGCAATGCTGTGTCCAACAGTACTTACACCCAAGTAGACGGTGCCGTATTTTGCAGCCGGAATAGAAACAACCTTGCAGGCTGCAGCAAGCCCCCAATGCCTCCCACCCATTTCACCTTCTTTGCCACCCTGGCTGTAGTGAGAGGGACGAGTTATGTGGGCTGCGATCCCACCATGCCCTTCTCTGAAGCTGAGGGCTTTTCTCACCGTGTGATGGAGACCTCGCCCGCCAGGGGCAGAACGAGCAAGCCAAGCCATTGTCTTAGGCCCAGGCGGCCGCTAAGGCAGGAGGCATGCTCATATGTCGCAGGCTGCAGGCTCAGAGTGTACCTCTCGTCAAAATCCCTATCCCTGTCACACCGATAAACGTTCTAGGCTCAGGAACTAGGCTCGCCAGCTCTGGGTTGGGAAATACAGGGAGATTTTGGGGGTGGAGCCTGAAGAGGGTGGGGTTTAGGGAGGGGAGGGAATAGGGTATAATGTCACAGAGTCCACCTTCCAAAGTGGCCACTTTGTCCAGGTGAACTGATCTTTGTCACCTGGAGGTCAGTTGTAATAGCGGGAGATCTCCGGCCACCACTGGGAGGTTGACAGCCCTACTCAGGACTCACCTTTGACTCCAACACTTACAGCATGGGGCCCATTTAATCTTTTAAAAAATATATGTAATGTTCCTCTTTCTCTCTCTGCTTTCCCCAGACTTGCTAGCTTGGGAACCCTGGGCATTGTAGTTCTGTGTATTTATAAGGGAAGTAGAAATTTCAAGGGAACTCTACGCATCTGCTGAGACATAACCCACTTGTGAGTCCTGATCAGTGCTCTAGGACCTATAGCTATGCCATAGGTGAAACCACTGTAACAGCACAGGGAGGGCTGTATTCCTCAATTCCTAATGATTCCCCCCTCTCGTCCTCACAATGCAAAAAATAAAAATAAAATGGAATATAAACAATGGATGCTTCTCTGGTCTCCCTTCTTTCCTGCAGTTCTCTGGATAATGTTCATCCAGACTCTCTCCCTCTCTCTTTCTGACATAGCAGTGGGTTAATCTATTACTTTATCGGCTGAAGCTCCAGCCAGTGTAGTGTTAACTAGCTTAGTGAAACAGCAACAGATGAACTCCTGCGAGCAGAGGGTTCACCCCCTCCCACGGCTGCAGCAAACAAACAGGAGGATCTCTGCTGCTTCCCGTGTCCCTCTGATGTAAAAATAACTTTTCAAAAAATACTTCCTTGATGGGCATAACTGCAGCCCATTATTTGACTGCTTCAAATGTTCATTCTGGCTTGGCAAGGCACACTAAGGAACATGTAAAGTGGATGGGAGAGGACAGAAGAAAATCTAGCCTAGATTAAGAATCAGCAACTGGTAGCCTTGGGGCCGAATCCAACCCTGGGAAGGGTGCTACTTACCCCATTACTTGCCACTCCTGGGAGAGGGGCATAGAGGGACTGGTGGCATATACTACACAAGGCCTGGAATAAGGTTGCCAGCTCTGGCCTGGGAAATACCAGGAGATTTTGGGGGGTGGGACCTAGGGAAGGTGGGGTTTGGGGAAGGGAGACCTCATCAGGGTACAATGCTGTAGAGTCCACCCTCCAAAGCAGCCATTTTCTCCAATGGATCTCTGTATTCTGGAGATCAATTGTAATGGTAGGAGATCTCCAAGCCCTACCTGGAGGTTGGCAAACAGGAATGCGGTGGCCAGAAAAAGATGACAGGAAGATGTTATTCACCACCCTTTCCCTCTAGAAGTTGCTAGGCTGATATGGATGCATAAGAATGGGAGATTGCATGCATGCAGTTAGTAGCAGCCTACAGTGCTACAGGCAGTGGTGTTGGGGGGTCTGCGTGAATGCGTGGATGGTGAGAAAGATGAAATAACCAGATCCCCACTGAGGTATTGCTCACCCTCTTCCACAGATACATCCAGGAAGAGGGCAGGACGATAGGACTGGCACCTCTCACTTCCACCAGGAAGAAAAATTATCCTTGCAAGCTACAGCTCAGGGGGACAGGACAGTAACCATCGATTCGGACAGAAAGCAGGGATGTCTTATTGGTTTCATGTACCAAAATCCTCACATAAACTGTTTATCTTTGACAATTTACCCCCATTTTTTAAATGGACCCCTTAGGAGTTGTGACTACCTACAGCAGGGATCTCCAACATGGCGACCTTTTCTGGCACCTGTCAAGTGCTTTTAGAGAGTGGGTGGGGCTAGGTGGGGATTTTGCACAGCAGGGCTTTTGATTCGCTGGACGGATTAAAAGGTTAAACAGAGCTTCCACCTGAAATGTTGAGGAACTGCTATCAGAGTTATATAGAACCTCTCTCCCTGCCATTTTGTGGTTGGTCCGCCTGTTGTGGCAGCCATTTTGTGAATGGTTCCACCTCCTGTGGGAGACATTTTGTGATTGTGCCCACTGCCCTGTGTCAGAATTTCAAAAATGCCTGCAGGCCCAAAAAGGTTGGGGACGCCTGTCCTACAGCAAACATGGACCTCAGTAATGTGTGTTCCCATGAGAAGGGAGGGGGAAGAGACTACAAGATGTTTCTCCCAAGCCGTGAAGGAGTGTGGCATTTACCTTCCAGATCAGTATGTTTCAAATGGGGCTACAGTATTTACTCAATGCCTCAGTTAGACAAATTATCAACATTCTTCTGATCAATTAAAGCTGTGCTGTTGATTTGCCCTTGATTAACTGGGAGTAACTTTAAAAAGTGTTAATTATTTTATCTAAGAAGTGCTTAGGAAAAAACTGGTTGCCGACCTCTTCAAGAGAGATTCTTCCAGCTCTTACTAAAAGGGATGGCTCTCCCAAGGTAGCACTTGTCGTTGCATGCACATACATTATCAAACAGGCAAAGCAAATAATGATTTTCCCCCCCCTTTAGAAGAAGAAGAGGAGGAGGAGGAGAAGAGCTTGGATTTATACCCTTCACTACCCAAAGGTGTCTCAGAGCGGCTTACAAACTCCTTTCCCTTCCCCTCCCCACAACAGACACCCTGTGAGGTAGGTGGGGCTGAGAGAGCTCTTGACAGAAACAGCTCTTTTTCAAGAACAGCTCTGACAGAACTACGGCTTGCCCAAGGTCATCTAGCCAGGTGCAAGTGGAGGAGTGGGAATCAAACCCGGTTCTCCCAGATTAGAGTCCGCGCACTTAACCACTACACCAAATGGCTGCTGGTGTTGTTCTTTTTTGGTCATCAAGTCACAGCTGACACATGGGGGCCCTGTGGGGATTTCAAGGAAAGAGACGTTCAGATGTGGTTTGCCATGGCCTCCATTTGTTTAGCAACCCTGGTATTCCTTGGAGGTGTCCCATCCAAGTACTTGCCAGAGCTTGACCCTGCTTAGCTTTTGAGATCTGACTGGATCAGGCGAGCCTGGGCTATCCAGGTCAGGGAATGCTGATACAGTAAATTAATTAACCTCCCAGGATTAATCCACCCTAGTGTATTTTATGCTGTACCTAAATCAAATGGGAGCTGCTTTTATGTAAGTAGCTCCTGCACAGATGAGGTAAATGTAAACAACACAACTGGGGGGGGGGGGCTGACCACAGGGGTCTTCTCTACACACACACCATTCCATCACAGTGCCAGTTATGTGGTCCCTGATTATGTGGGGGGGTTATTTAAACATTAAGTTGTACAGCAGATGATCTTGGAAAACAACTCAATTCACAAAGGGGTTGTTTTGAATGTTGCAAAATGACTACAGGTCCAGGTGATGATATAGTTATAGGCCAATAAGCACCTTCCTGGTCAGATTTTCCTCACATGAGCTGAATCAGCCCTGCAGAATTAGTTTCAGGGCTCACTCCTGCCCTTGCTATAGCTGGGGGCGGGAATGTATATCCGTTTGCAGAATACTGCAGTTGGCACACTCTTAGTCCTAGTTTGCATTGAGATGGTAAACCTATACCTGAACAGTGCCACTTCAGGTTGTGGGCAGAGGTCACTTGATTTAAATGTCTCTGTATGGAAATAATTCCCTGCACAGAGAAAGCTAGGTGTCATGGAGAACAGATCTAGCCTGCTCTTTGATATGCTTGTTTTTGGATATGTAGGGAACATCTTTTTCCCCCAAACTGGAGCATTCCAGTCTGAAAGCTCCCACTTACATTCTAGCCCAGGTAGAAGGTGATCACCTCAATGAGAAGTAGGCTTTAGGATGTTGTGCCTGGCATTCTCCTGCTGTTTGCAACTTGTTATGAATGTTATCATTTCACTGAAGGATAAATTGCAGAACCTGTCCTTACAAGGGGGGGGGGGGGATATTCTGGCTTTCCATTTGCATTTACAGGAAATGTGAAGAACACTCTTAAGTATCCCAGATATAACTGAACATTGCTGTGACAGGGGCCAAAATCAGGGAAAGACACAATGCAGAAGTGTTAGGTGCCAGCATACCAGTCCTGAATACCTGATCCCCCTGGTATGTGGATGCAATGAGGAAAAAGGAAGGCAGGGGAGAGGAAGGAAGAGAGAGACGAGTAGAAAGAGAGAATCCTAGGACAAGGCTACCCAACTACCCTCCCCAACTCTAACGATACTCCTTTAAAGTCCCTCTAAGGACACTGCAACTGAAGCTTGTCTTTTGCCTTTTTGTTTGCTGTCTCTCTAGCCCAGAACATACCGCATTATTGGGACAGCAATTGGCTTTACCTTCTTTCTGGTGGCTGCTAACACACCATGGGTCGAAGGAGAACCTGTGTCTTTTAAGAGTCGTTGCTCATTCCTCTCTATGGCTTTAGGACCCGTGTGGCAGACAGATATGTGACTCATCCCCAACAAGGGCTGCATTATCTGTCCTCTCTCCAAAGCCTCTTTGCCATCTTCTTCACCCTCTCCAACCCACTATTCTCTCGCTGCTGTCAATTACATTCCTTAAGGCTGTGTTCTTAGTTCCCGTCTTAACTGGCAGTAGCATCTGGGTGTGTCAATCTATGAAGACAGGTCCACCTAGCTCTTTGTCAGAGCTGTTACCTGAGATCCCTTTCACTGAAGACTAAAGAAGAAGAAGAAGAAGAAGAGATTGAATTTATACCCCGCCCTTCACTACCCAAGGGAGTCTCAGAGCAGCTTACAAACTCCTTCCCCTTCCCCTCCCCACAACAGACACCCTGTGAGGTGGGTGGGGCTGAGAGAACTCTGACACAAACTGCTCTTTTCCAAGAACAGCTGTGCCAGAGCTTGTGACTGACCCAAGGTCACATCAGCAGGTGCAAGTGGAGGAGTGGGGAATCAAACCCGGCTCTCCCAGATTAGAGTCCGCGCACTTAACCACTACACCAAACTGGCTCTTTAACCGGAGACCTTCTGGTTAAAAGCATGTGCTCTTCCCAGTTCACTGTGCTATAACAGGGGACCAAAAATTGCATGGAAGTAGTGGTGGTGATGGTAGTGGGGAAATGACATTCAAGGAATGGGGTTATCTGGTCATGGCAGGAGCAGCTCAGAAAAACAAAAAAGAACTTTGTAAGGATGCACGGGCTGTGATCCATGACCTGCATTTGTTGTTTTGATGGGGTCAGAAAGGGTGGTGGTGGTGGGAGTGATTCATTGTTAGGTTTACAGAGCACAAACATTCCTTGAAAAGTCCTCACACATGGTGATTTGAATTCCTTCTCCCAGCAAGACACAAATTTTATCATAGGTAAGATAATCTCTTCTTCATGAGAGAGGCTCTGTGATTTCAACAGGTGCGCGATAGGAAACTATTCCATGGGTGAGGTTTCTCTTAGCGTGAAAATGGACGGATTGGGAAAACTGCTGAATTTCTGCCTATATGGAACTGTTTAAGGCACAGAGCCTCTATGGTAGTGGGGTGGGTTCAAAACTCTTGTAGCAGTTTGTTTCTGCAAAGAAATGTCCAGGTGGCATGCAGGGTTAGCCTCACTGCACAAACAATGTAGGCACCTGCTTGGGGTGGCAATATTTTAATGACACCAATGAAGCAACCACATGTGTCCTGTGGATGATGGTGTATCTCAAGACCTCTGGCAGAGGATGCTGGGAACAGGGCTGCCAACTGCTCAGAAACAAACAGCCTGGTCTGCTCCTGTGCCTTTAACAGCAGCTTGATTTACAAAAATCAGCGGGTTAGCCTTTTTCTAGCATGGAGAGAAGCACTACGACTTGTTAATTTCTGCACATCAAGTTGCCCTTCAGGCACCGCCACTTCAGGAGCTGGTTGAAAAGTCAGCAACTCCAACTGGGACACAACTCGTGGATCACACATTAGTTTACCCAGACCCTTCTGTTTCTCTTTTGGGGAAATGTTCTTTCACTTTGCAAGGCAATGTTCAGGCTGCATCTGCCAGCACCAAAAGGGCTGTGTGTATCACCATGCAATGTAAACGTGGAATCTAGTAATGGGCATGAAATGTCGCATGCAGCATTCCCACCCCCCATTTTTTAAAAGTAAAGTTCATAGCTCTTATGGCTGTGAAGATACGCTTGACAGTGTGTGGGCAAATGGCTGGTGCCAGAACTAAAGCAGCGTGGAAGACCTTAGATTACTCTTTGTCCTCTCTCTGACTTGCAACATCAGAATAAATTATGGGAAATCAGCAAATATGTGCAAGCATACTCAATTGGTGTGATCTAGTTAATTAATTCCATTTAGGCTTTCTCATGATAGAATTTGGATGTAAAATAGTGATTGCGTGTGTATGTGCAGATGCGGAATTACACGCCTCTAAGCAATAAACTGCCACAGCATTGGACAAAGTGGACTTTGGCTCACAAATAGACCTGTTAGTGTTTATGGTGCCACAAGAGTCCTTGATTTGTGTGTGAAAATGCCAATAAAGGTTGATTGATTGATTGATTGATATTGATGTGTGTGTGTGTGTGTGTGTGTGAGACAGAATACAAACATGACTACCATGACTCTTAAATGCATCAAGAAACCTCAAGATAAAGGGAAAAGGACCCTCTATTTTTCCCAATCCTTTATGTGACACTTTCTTCAGCCTTTGCAGAGGAGATACCCTACATTTTGGATCTGATGGCAGATGGATCGTGGGCATTGGGTAGACTTCTACAGCTGTTTTCAGAGGATGGGTGTCTCTGGCACAGAGCGCAAATAGCTAAGAAATGGGGAAGCGGTGAGAAATCAAGGGTGCTGCTGTCCAGAACTTACCCAGGTGCCTTTTTCGCCTGGTTCACCTTTTGGGCCTGGTTCACCCTGAAACAGAACAAGAGACAGCATTAAAGGAAACAAGTTAAACAATGGGTGACTTTGCACATGTCTAAAGCACCACAAACAGGATAGAGGCAGCCCCTACCAGGTGGTGGCACACCCCATGAGCCCAGGTCGGCCCAACAACAGAGCCACATGGAAGTCTTGGAGAGGGAGATGCTGCCTGCAATTTTGAAAGAGGGATGCACACAGTCAGCTTAGCTATCACTCAGCTGGAAGATACCTCCTGCATTTCAGGGGCACAATCTAGAGCTTGTGATTGCTGCTGGCTACCACAGACACAGCTGTGAAAGGGGAAGATCAACGAAGGGGCAGGCATTCCATGAAAATGAGGAAACAGTATCCTGGCCTACTCCTGGTCATTTAATGTTCCAGCAGTGCTCAGTCACATGGGGACATGGGTGATATCTGGAGTGCAAGAGTGTGAGACAGGCACGAGACATCCCACGGGGTACCGGAAGAGGGTTTTTTGGGGTGCGTTTTTTTGTGAAAGCCAAAAGGCTCGCAGAAGATGCTTTCTGGAAAATGGTGCCCCTTGTAGATTAGTAGCAGGGACTTGCCACTAAGTGACCAGATGTCTTTTGCCTTCCATGACAGTGTATTTCTCTTCCCGGTGCCCCGCTCCACCCACTTACATGCTCTCCATCCAGACCTCTGTGGCCAGGATATCCCGGTGGTCCCTGGCAAAGAAAAAACACAGGAGTCTGATTGTGTCCTGCTTCTCCTTCCTCTCTGGCTTCCAAAGAGAGCACCAAAAAATTGTTATGCCCCTCCTCAGCAACAAAGTCTGGCGGAGTGCCTCGAAATTTATTCCAGGCCACACATACAGGCAAGAGTGACCATTCTAGTTGCCCTCCTATTTGGTGCAGTGGTTAGGAGTGCGGACTCTAATCTGGGAGAACTGGGTTTGATTCCCCACTCCTCCACATGCAGCTGCTGGTATGACCTTGAGTCAGTAACAAGTTTTTTTCAGAGCTGTTCTCTCAAAGGCAGTTCTCGAAAGAGCTCTCTCAGCCCCACCTACCTCACAGGGTGTCTGTTGTGGGGAGGGGAAGGGAAAGGAGATTGTAAGCTGCTCTGAGACTCCTTCGGGTAGTGAAGGGTGGGGTATAAATCCAATCTCCTCCTCCTCTTCTTCTTCTCCTCCTCCTCCTCCTCGCCTATCTATCCTGGAGGAAAGTGTCCGCTTCTTCGATAGCACAGTCCAGGAAGAAGGGTGCCAACAGGAGATTGCTCTGTCCCTGGTGCTACAAGCTGCCCGGGTGCCTGTCAGTTCCTGCCTGTTGCCACAGTCACAGTTCAGGTTCTAGACTAAGGTGAATGAAGGCATGCCAACTTTTTCAACCAGCCTTTGCAGCAGTCCTTTAATCACTGGCATAACTGCAGACATTGGCCCATGAGAACTTTCATCTGCAGGCTGAGAAAAGCTTTACCTCCTGGTTTCAAGTGTATCAAGCTTAAAAGCAGGCCAGGCCATTTCCCCCCCTGGTCAACAAGCAGGAAGAAGAGTGAACTACTGCAGCACTAGAGACCTATAAAACAATAAAGAGATGGGGCAAACCGGCTAAGACTTGCCTAGATGCCCCTCCGCAGTGTTCCCTCTAAGCTGAGTTAGTGTGAGCTTGCTCACAGTTTTTTAGCCTCCAGCTCACACATTTTTGTCTTCGTTCAGGAAGGAGGGCTCCAGAGCAAACTAATTTATGCAGTAGCCAAATTGTTCACTCATAACTTTAATGCCAGTAGCTCACAAAGTAGAATTTTTGCTCACAAGACTCCACAGCTTAGAGGGAGCATTACATGGCTAGTAGGACCTGTCTCTAGATAACCAAATGAGGAAACTTCTGTGAGACTCTTTATTTCTTTGGACATCTCATAGGGGAACAATATGTATGTGTACATGGGATAAGAAAGCTTTGCAGAAGCTACTGATTTTTGCAGATTTTTTGTTTTGGGCTGCAAAACTAAGGTAATAGCATAAGCAGTAGACAGACAGGCTTCATGTCCCATGGGGGTATAGGTATCCTTCTTTTGTCCAACTGTTGCTTTCTGGTCAAACAGGTTTGGAAGAGTTTTGAAACAATATGAAAACTCGCCAAACTCATTTATCGGAATTGAAAACACGATCAGCATGTATGCTGTGAATAGCAGTCCCTCTCTCAAACGCCTTTCAGCCCTCTGAATAAAACTATCACCTGTTTCTTGCCACATTGATAAGAGAGGATCCTAAACAGGACTCCATCCCTTTAACCTGAACACAAGTGCCAAAGGTAGTTCGGAATAATTAATAAATATTTTAGCAGTCTGGCAAACATCGTTTTCCAGATATTGCGTCCACCCCATGTAGTCAGATCTGAGAGGATACTCACTCTCTCTCCTTTCTCCCCAGGGATTCCGGCTGCCCCATCAGCACCTGGCTTTCCAGGGATTCCCTGCGTGAAATCACAATTCCATTATCAAACAAGACATTTTCTGCCACATATCCTCTCTAACCAGGCAGTTGCCATCTATTTTTACAGCCTTGCCCTTGTTTCCCTCAGAGTTTCCTCAGACAAAGGTTCATTTACTTTAGCCCTTAGCCAGGAAGAATTAGGGGGTGAGAACCTGTGCTCTTGTGTAGTGCCTCCATGTGATGCCATTTAGCAATTAAAGTAATGACCAGTTGCTCACAGGCCGGATAAGAGCTCCGAACGGGCCGGTTCCAGCCCATGGGCCGTATGCTTGACACCCCTGCTCAAAACTCTTGAGTGAATCCTAGAGAGGAGCACCTGAAGTAATGATGTCACTTCTGGTTTTGCCAGAAGTGATGTCGTGCCCCAGTGTGATGCTGGTGTCTCCTCCCCCATTTTTCTCCCACAACTCTTGGAAGTGCCAGTGGGGAATGGTAGTAAGCAGTAAGCAGTGGGAGGTCTCCATGGCCTGTTCCCAGAGTTGCAGTGGTGGACAGGGGGTCCACCAAACGGGGGGTCTATGCCTAATACATAGAACTGTGCCAAGGCTGGCATCAGGGGTCAGCACAGGTGGGCAAGTGCCCCAAGACGCCCGACTTTAATTGCTAATCTCTTTCCAAAGGGAGCAGGGTGGGGAAGAGCACAACCTCTGCTGCTTCGCCCTAGAAATCTCTCCTAGCTAGAAAGGGGAGATTGTCCCAGAGGGACCTGCCAGACTCTGCAGCTGAAAAAGACCCCCGGAGAAGCTGCTGACTGAGGCTCTTCCACCCTTCTTCAAGCCCTATCAGTGCCAAAGGAGTCACCGATTGTACTCTACCCTCTCCTCTGGGAGGCTGTGTGTAACTGCATATGTGCATGTCAACCTGCACATCCACGTATGAAAGGGGGGGCACAGTTCTTTTCGGCCAACCCGGACCAAAACTGGAGCCATCCCCACCCTTCCCCACCAGAGGTTCTATATCGCCCCACATCAAGGCACTCAATGACACCTACAAATGGTGCGACCTGCCAAGTAAATGACAGCCTACGATCAGCCCCTCCATAGTTTTTATGGGCCCCTCCCCAGTCCTCGGCTCCCCCTCCCCCTGTGGTCACTGCCCTCAGCCCAGCAACCAGTGACTCTGCACCGCCTGCTGCTGCCCCAGCCGTCTATGCTGCTGCTGGGAGGCCAGAGGGGAGGGCTGCTGAGCCGGGACACCTGCTGCTCGCCACGCCTCCCTCCTGGGCACCTGCCTCCCTCCCCTCCCCCGCCAAGAGGAAGGGGCAGCCGCCTGACTGAAGCCAGCTGGGGTGCAGAAGCAGCCAGAACTTTGCCAGGCAGGAGTGCATTGAAGGCGATGGTGTGAAATCTATAGGGACATGCTCGGGGACTGTTGTTTAAAGCCAGATGGAAGAACTATAATATGCAATAAACCACTTTTATATATTGGCCCCGGTCACATGGAGCATTAGCCACCCTAGAGGGACGGAAGATAGGCGGAGTTTCCGGGCGCAATCTCACCGGCACATCTGGGAAGTGTCGGGCTTCCGTGGCACAACCGAGGCTTCCCGCCAAAGACGCGCAGTAAAAAACTAGTACCTCGGAGGTACTAGTTTCCTGAAACCGCAGGGCAAGGGCGGGCGTCTGATCGCGTTTCCGGAGGTAGTTCCGGCGCCCGCCCATGTCCCCTCAGAAAATGGGTTTTTTCCAAAGTCTCCATGGATGCGCACCCGCACCCAAGGGAGCATGCGCACAATTACATTTTAAAACAAAAACAACCAACCCATTTGCCCCGCGCCCCGCTTCTTTGCCGCGCCGCAGGACTGTGGAGTGATCGGCACCACCCCCCTACCACGGGACCTCCACGGGACCTCGATAGGTAGGTCTGCTCGAGCAACCACGCGGTTTTTAGCCCCGGGGCTAACAGCCACGTCCCCCCCCTGCAGTTTCCTGCCTATGTGACCGGGACCATTATTTAGTTATTATTTAGACGTATGAGCAGTACCACACAGACATATAATGGCAGGCCCCCTAAGCAAACAGTTGTTCGCTACGGGCTGCCCACGATCCATACATCATGACCTGCCAGCTCTGCCCACCTCCACATCTAACAGATTTTGCACTCCTAGGCAGTCAGGAAAAACGGGAGCGTTACTGAGCCTCTGGTGAGCCCCATATGTGGCTGGTGACTTTGGTCAGCTCAGCAGCTCGCATGTTACACAAAGTCCTTTTAAACCATCAGAAACAAGTACAGCTTCTTCCCACTTCTGCCTGGCATCCGCTCTCAAGCTAGTCTGCCTAGTTCTGAACACAGCAAGGAACTGGATCCAAGTGGCAAAGGAACAGGCCGACCCGAAATGGAAGCGTAACCTACACTTCCTGGTATAATCCACAGTTCAGTTCCCCAAATACTGGAGATTCCAGTGCCTGGGAAAATCTGTGTCCCTTCTGAAATGAACCACATACTTCAGCCACACTGATACCCCTGGAAACCCAACACCCTCCTCAGAAATGTGGTATACTTACATCACGGCCTGGTGATCCCGGCTTCCCAGCCGGCCCCGAAGGACCTAGATGGAGAAAGGTGACTTACAACCTTGGTTGGCCATTACTTTTGCTGGAAAGTCAATGTGACGAGAAAGGGTGGTCCTGATAGCCCAGAACCCCAACCTTAACCTTCCAAAGCAGCTTGCCTGCAAATCCCATTTCTGCAGTCCCTTCATATGTCTTTTTCATGTCTGTTGGTAGCTGTGAGTGTGCATCAGGAATCAGTGAACCAGGGTGGACTAGGGCCAAGTGCTGCCTGTTGCTGATCCTGGTTTCAGGCAGGTTTGCTCTTTCTTGGCATCCATGTGATTGGGATACAGCACAGAGAGCGCTCAGTTCTGACTGGTCAGAGCAAAACAAGCTCATGCCCCAAACAGTGTGGCCAGATGACTGTAGGCATGGACAGAAGCATGAGGGTTTCTCAGTCACTTTGCAATCTCTGTTCCTTCATTCAGGCCAGGACATACATTTCAGACACCTCTACCCAGAGCCAGTTTGGTGTAGTGGTTAAGTGCACGGACTCTAATCTGGGAGAATCAGGTTTGATTTCCCCATTCCTCCACTTGCAGCTGCTGGATGACCTTGGGCAAGCCATAGTTCTAGCACAGCTGTCCTTGAAAAAGAGCAGTTTCTGTCAGAGCTCTCTCAGCCCCACCCACCTCACAAGGTGTCTGTTGTGGGGAGGGGAAGGGAAAGGAGTTTGTAAGCCACTCTGAGACTCCAAGTGAAGGGCGGGGTATAAATCCAATCTCTTCTTCTTCTTCTACCCTGTCATCTCACATGGTGACCACCCAATTGTTTGCCATACTCAGAGTCTAGTTCTGGAGTATTTTGGATCCAAATTGGCAGAAGGACTGGGGGGGGGGGATGCCCATCCTGATTTCATCATTGACAGGATAACCAAAGGGCGGTCCAGAGAAAGACTCCAGCAGTGCGTTAATCTCAGAGGGACACACCCTGGCATGACTGCTGCCCACAGGAAAACTGACTCAATCACACACTGAAGGCTCTTCAGCTATTGTTCAAGATAATTGGTTCAATCAAGGTGCTCTTATGCACAGTGCTCTATTGTCTTGCCATCTTCTTTTCTGACAAAAGAGGTCTCCGCCTCTAATTTATCAAGTCTCCCCCACATTCCAATGAAGCAAAGTGCTGTTCTCAGGATCTCTGCCTTGGATTTTTACTGGGATCTCTGCTCAAGTCCTTGCTACGACCATCAGCTCCACTGCTGGAACTCCAAAGCCTCCCAGTTTCTGTAGATCTAAAGGCTGCCTGGATCCTTGGGATTTCCACAGACAGAACTCCATTCAGGATAGGCAAGAACACCACGGAACAGACAGCCACACACATAGGCTGCTTCATCATGAGTCAGATCCTTGGTTTATCGAGGCCGGTATTGTCTACTCTGACTGACAATTCTCCAGAGACTCAGCCAGAGGTCTTTCACATCATCTAGCATGATCCTTTAAAGTGGAGATGCCAGGAATTGAACATGGGACTTTCTGCATGCAAATCAGATGCTCTGCCAGTGAGCCACAGCTCCTCCCCTGTAACATAGCCCTCTGTCTTCCCTACCCTACCATCTTCTTTCCCTCCCCCACTGATGTCTCTCTTGAGTTTACTCCTCATGCAGTGTGTGAGTGGGGGCGCTGGGAATAGTTACCTTACTGTGATCATTACAGCATTTGGTACTTACAAGCATGCTTGATACTATTCTGACTGCTTAAATGCATTTTATATCCTGCTCAAATGCTCTCTCTACTTTCCAATAATCTGGATCCCAGCATTTTCCCCAGGCTTGACTAAAAAATGTGTTCTTTTGTTGAAATGGTCCTTTATGATTCCTTATGTCCATCACTCCTCAACCACCAACAAAATCTTCCAGGATTCCTGTTTTTCTCCCACAGGGGATCAACCTATTACATGAGTAGCCCATGACTGGAACCCTTAGAACAACTTCCTGGGAGCAAACCCCACTGAATACAATGGGACATACTTCTGAGTAAAGCTGTTTAGGATTGTTCCCTGCGTCTCACATCGATTGCAGGCCAACGGCTGTGTGTATGCCTCTACTCTGGACTAGCAAGAGAAAGGCACAGAGTGCAGAACATGTTTCTGGGAGTCTCTAACAGCATGTCTTTCTTTTTTAAAGAAGCAAGTTTCTAGCCTTTACGGCTGCAAATGTATGTTTGAAAATGTATAAGCGAGGCTGCTGAAATCTCAGTAGCCAGAGGGTGCTGTTGAGTAAGATTATTTTTATTTATTTATTTATTTGATTAGATTTTTATACCACCCTTCCCGCTCAGGGCGGTTCACAACATAGCTTTATAAAACATATAAAATCCAATAAACAGTCTAAAATACTGTCTAGAATAAAAATAGGTTAAATTAAACCCCCCACATGGCGTCGTAATCCAATTCTAGCCCCCCAAATTTATATTAGCAGTGGGGGAGGGGGATGGAAGCGGGTAGTGGAGCAGATAGTTATTAGAGCTGTTAATCATTAAAACCATTAAAACTGTTGCTGTCCTCAGTCATATGCTTGGCGGAACATCTCTGTCTTGCGGGCCCTGCAGAATTCTAACAGATCCCCGGGCTAGATGGATCAATAATATGACTCAATAGAAGGCAGCTTCTGGTGGGCATTAAAATATGATTAAACTACGGGAATTCCCCATGGGAATTCTGGACAGCCTTGCAGCAACCTGACCCTTCCCACATCCCCTGGACAGCCAAGAGTTTTCTTGTAAAAAGTGCAATTGTCAGAACTGGCACCAGAGGTCACTGTAACCCAGTTATCTAATAGGCTCTGGCAAAACATTTGGTCCTCCAGCTGCAGCGTGACTTCCTCCTTTCCCCATTCTGTGCCACTTGAGTGCATCGGATCCTTGCTTGGTTGTTTGAATCTGTCACGGGCCCCATGCACTTTCCCTGGTAGCCTTATAAAGAAGTAGGCTAGTCTGAGGCAAGAGCTTGAAACTGAGCATGTCTTCTGGGCTGAATGAGACCAAACATCTATCTAGTCCAGAATATTCCATTGATTAAACATCTAAAGATTTTCAGAAACGTTGTTGTTTTATTATATGAATACACAAAAACTTCAGATGGAAAGCGGGGTTGCAGAAGAGGCCTTCCCTTTTCCCTTTCTTACACACACACAAACCTTCTTCCAGGAGGGTAGCTGCCCTGGCCTCTGTTTGCATCATCTAAAACCAAGCATTGTCCATACCTATGCAGATTAATGCAGATTTAATCGACTGACTACAAGTCCTATAAATAACATGCATATACAAAAACCATGCAGATGTAATAAACTGATTAAAACATATAAATAATGGCATGCATCCAACCATCCACATAGCAGAGTGGGGCTTTCCCAGTTCTCCTTCCAGCTGTAGCCAACTGAGCAACCCCCCCCCCCCCATTTTGTTCCGGGGAGGGGTTGTCAGCAGATACTCAGAAAAAGCATGGGGGGAAGTGGGGGGTTATAGCAACACAGGGAACTGGCAGAAAGCACCATCCCCTCTCCACAAATGGAAGTAATGTTGTGCCATTGGTGGAACTACATGGTTGGACACTATTTAATGATATTACTACGATATTACTGCATCTAATAGTAAACTACACAGTTTCTGTGTAGATAAGAAAAGCAGCACAACTGGACAGCCCGCATGCAAGGAAGGGTCTGTATATATATACACTTGGGAGAATTCCCCAGGAATGAAGAAAAATATGACTTTGTAAATTAATAAAGAAAAACGAAAGAGAGAAACAGGGGGGGGCGGATGGGACCATCAGCCTTATAAAGACAGAAAATGCTTCAGAAGGGATGAAATGCTGACAGCAGCTGAGCATCGATCAAAGAAAAGAAAAGGTGGGATAAAGAATTAACCTGTTCAAGCCCTTGAGAGTTAGACGATCCTGGAAGAGGGGGGAGATTTAAAACTGTTCTCCCTCCCAGAATTCCTCATGGGCTCCCATCTTGTAAGTAAGAACAACAAAGTTCTTTTAATCAGAGACATAATGCCTCTGAATAAATTTAGCCAGTTTCCAGCTCACTAGCGAACTGTTACAGACAGACTTCTCCTCCCTCAATTCATCCAGTCCTTTTCTAGAAGCCACCTCTCAGCTGGTGCCTCGTGGTAATGAATTCCATAAAGTCAGTCCACCGTGTATTAAGAAATACTGCCTTCTGCCTGTCCTGAACCTACTGGTAATCGGTTTACCAGGACAACTCAGTTTTCCATGATTCTGAGAAACAGAAACAGGCTGGATTTAGATTTGTTTACTTTCTTCCCATTGCATGTGCTAACTTACCCAGTTACAAGCTAACACCCTTGCTATCCTCTGCCTCACATAAGAGCTAGGATAAGGGCAGGGAAGGTACTTACCCATCGGCCCTGGAAGCCCAGGAGGGCCAGCTGGCCCTGTGATACCCGTTTCAATAAAACTGTTTGACAGAAGAGGGTCCCCTATAACAAAGAGCAAGGCGAGATCAGGGTGTGGGTATGAAATAATCACAAGGATCAAGTACAGCACACAGACGCAAAGGAAAACTCCATTCCAAGAGCTCAGACTCACGCTATGCCAGTTTCTTCAGCTGTTGCTGTTGGGGGTCAGTATGGACCACTATGTGCCTGAGCATCCGTGCCAAGGCAGGGGTCAGCATCACTATATAATTAAACAGCCAATCAAAATCCGGTCTGTTATCTTTCTACTGAAATCATATTCGGAAGTGTGATGAGTAATGTATTGTAATTCTTTGAACATGTTATAACGTTGTACATACGCAGGAACTATTTACAGGATGTGAATGTAATTGGAAAATTAATTGTTCACTGTTTGAAGTGTTAGAATTGTTAAAAATTGAAAAAATAAATTAAAAAAAAACAAACAAAAAAAAACAAAGAGCCAATATTTAAGAAAGCCCATTTTCATAAGACAAAATATTCAAGTTGACATTCCTGATAATTGACATGTCAATTAATAATCCATAAAGTTTCTGAAGTTGGGAGTCCTTTATTAGGAAGTGCCACATGAAATCCCACAATAAGTAATACATATACACAGGAGAAGCCTGCACAATTGTTTTAGTGCACTGGCTTATATCTGTGCATGGTTCACACATGCAGTACAGCAACGATTCATCCCTATCATTTTTCTTTTTGTAGAGGGTACCTCAGAAACTCTTTAGCCTCATGAAATCTTTTTCCTGCCATTCCCCTCACATATTGGTTATTCCAGCATCTCTCCTGTCTTTTCAATATACCTTGACTTAAAGATGTTCCTTTCAAAATGAACTTCCCCCCCCTGTCAAGTCACAGCCGACTTACGGTGACCCTGTAGAGATTTCAAGGCAAGAGACGCCCAGAGGTGGTTTTGCCATTATCTGTCACTGGGCTGCAACCCTGGACTTCCTTGCTGGTCTCCAATGTTCCCTCTAAGCTGTGGAGTCTTGTGAGCAAAAATTCTACTTTGTGAGCTACTGGCATTAAAGTTGTGAGCAAGCAATTCAGATACTTGTATAAATTAGTTTGCTCTGGAGCCGTCCTTCCTGAGCTAAGACAAAAATGTGTGAGCCGGAGGCTACAAAACTGTGAGCTAGCTCACACTAACTCAGCTTAGAGGGAACAGTGCTGGTCTCCCACCCAGATACTAAACAGGGCTGACCTCACTTAGCTTCTGAGACTGGGCCAGCCCGGGCTGTCCCGGTCAGAGGAAAAACAAGAGCCATATTTGTATTTATGAGGAAAGGTTAAAGCGCTTAGGGCTCTTTAGCTTGGAGAAAAGACGACTGAGGGGTGACATGATCAAGGTTTATAAGATTATGCATGGGAAAGAGCAGGTAGAGAAAGAGGTACTTTTCTCCCTTTCTCACAATACAAGAACTCGTGGGCACTCCATGAAACTGCAGAGCGGTCGGGTTAGAACGGATAAAAGGAAGTACTTCTTCACCCAAAGAGTGATTAACACATGGAATTCACTGCCACAGGAAGTGGTGGCGGCTACAAGCATGGACGGCTTCAAAAGGGAATTAGATAAGCATATGGAGCAGAGGTCCATCAGTGGATATTAGCCACAAGGTATAGCTAGGAGCTCTGGGGCAAGTGATGCTCTGTCTTCTTGGTGCTTGGGGGGGGGTCAACAGTGGGATGGCTTCTAATGTCCTGGCCCCACTGGTGGACCTCCTGATGGCACTGGTATTTCTGGCCACTGTGTGACACAGAGTGTTGGACTGGATGGGCCTTTGGCCTGATCCAACATTGGCATCTCTTATGTTCTTATGTTCTTATGTACTCAATCATATTCTACTCTTAGAACCACAGGTTGCAGATCCCTCTGCTAAGGCATGAAACTGAGGATATTAAAGATAAATAATTTTTTTCAAGAACTTCCTTGATGAATATTTGAGTCTGCGTAAGTATCGGGAGTTACCTGGGCTTCACATCTAATATAAACATGTCTGTTTGTTTTTAAATTGAAATAAAAATTATATTAAAAGGAGTTACCTGGGCTAAAACCATGCACCTACAGACCTGAATGATGCTGCCCAATGTAGTTAGCCAGCTGAGGCTATAGGTTAATGCAGTTTCTAGCTCCTAGATTCTGTAGTGGCTCTACCCACTCAGGCTGGTCACTGGATCACCCTGATGTGAAAGGAGGAGGAGGAGGAGAGTTGGCTTTATATCCCGCCCTTCACTACCCAAAGGGGTTTCGGAGCAGCTTACAAATTGTCTTCCCTTCCTCTCCCCACAACAGACACCCTGTGAGGTAGGTGGGGGCTGAGAGAGTTCTGAGAGAACTGTGACTGACCCAAGGTCACCCAGCTGGCTTCACGTGGAGGAGGAGTGGGGAATCAAACCCAGTTCTCCAGATTAGAGTCCTCCGCTCTTAACCACTACACCAAGCTTGTGTCTTGTGACTTCCTAGAGTAAAAACAGCTGATACTTGGCTCATGATTTCTGGCTTATGGCTCTCACTCTGCGGCCAATTTATGGCAATTCCATGGGCCTTTCGAGGCAAGAGATGTTCAGTGGTTGTTTGCCATTGCCTGCCTCTGTGTAGTGATCCTGGTAGTCCTTGGCAGTCTCACACTCACGTACTAGCCAGGGCCAGCCCTGCTTAGCTCCTGAGATCTGACCAGATCAGGCTAGCCTGGGCTATCCACGACAGGACCTGAAGCAGAATAAGTCGTCTCTAATACCCATTTTTGTCTGCCCATCCTCTTTTTTCTCAGTGATGTGCTTGCTATATCACACTGATTCAGAGGTATTCAATTCAGGATTGCTGCTGTGGGAAGGGAGTCTCTGGTTCCTCTGCTATGCTTTGCTTCCACCATCTCTGCAGATCTATACCACTGCTACTTAATTACAAAACAGAGGGGTTTATCAGTGGCTGAAGCAAAGCGAGAGAGAAGGAAGACAGCTCCTGTTTAACAAGGGGCTCCTTTGTTTTAGTTAAACT